TAGTAGAAGTAAGATCAGCTCAGAGGGAAGGAGGGAGAGCCTTACCTTTTCAGGCTGATCAGCATAGGCAGAAAGGCCTGGCTTCACAGACTCAAAGATTTCTCCTTCCAGCTCTGGCAGGCTTTCTGCACAAATGAAACATTACACAAAGCAGTCAACAACTCAAATCTTTTTCGTTAGCTTGGTTGTCTTCAACACTGGTAAAGTGACTATCCTTGATTTCCCTTTGCAAATGCTATTTCCTTCCCAAAACAAACACTGCTCCTTCATTTCACAAACATATTCAACAGAACACTACCCTTATATCTTCCATATTCATGAACAATTTATTATGAACACATTGTTATAATTAGAGGTTATAATTCTAAGTTAACACATTGTTCTAATTAGAATGTTGCCCAGAGAAATTGTGAATGCCCCATCCCTGGAAGTGTTCAAGGCCAGGCTGGATGGGGCTTTGAGTAACCTGGTCTAGTGGAAGGTGTCCTGCCCATGGCAGGGGCGTTGGGACTAGATGATCTTCTAAGGTCCCTTCTAAACCATTCTATAATTCTCTAAGTACGTTCATTTTGCATTTGTGAACCACAAATTATAGCAATGTAATACGATCATTGCCTAATCCTAATGAAATTTCTTTCTGTCTCCAAGCTAATTGTGAAATTTTAATTCTTATTAAGACACATACAGTCAGCTCCTGAGTATCCTTAAGTGATTCATGCAGCTCACAAACACAGGGATGGCTGAACAGAGCTGGCTGGCCTCAGGCATCTGGCTGCAAAGCCAAACAAACGTGACCGTTGCTCCCAGAGTGGCTTGGGTCTAAAAGCTGTCCCTGAGTATTGTGTATGAGAAGTCAGGGTGAGTTCCTGAGAGCTGGACATTGTACCGGCCCTTCCCAACTAACACTGAACTCATGTGAAGCCACACAGGAACTACGTGTGGCCCTGAAGAGCTCGTTGACAGTCTCACCACCAGCCTTTAACCAGTGCAATATTCGCTGAGTCACTGTCCCCAAGCTGATTCACCCTCCTGAGGGCTGCTACATGGGCAGCCAGCTCGAGTACCTTCCTTGGTGGTTACAGCTCTTTAATTTAATGATTTTGATTTGTTATAAAATATGACATATACAGATATGTAAAATTTAAGTATTCCTTGATATAATTCAAGGTGCAAACTGACACAGGGTCTTACCTGGGCTCTTCTGCACAAAGGTGTAAATATGAATCCGTGTTCCAGTGCTTCCTGCATCGAACATTATGCCATAAAAAGTGTTGGCCTTTGCATTTATAGGGCACACATTAGGTGGAAAGAGATCCTGGAACCACATGACTCTGTTTGAATGGGAATGAACAAAGGAAAAAGAAGAAAACACCAGTGCTAGAAGGACGGGGAGTCTGGAAGATGCCATCCTGCCAGATCCACTTGAGCAAGTCAAGCATGGATGAGCAGTCATAGAGCTGGAGTAGTTCCTGTAAAGAAAAAAAAAAAAAAAAAGAACAAAAATTACCAAGAGCCCTCTCCTAACAAAGTCTATAGAAAAAGTTCTGTCTGTACACATATATTTTGTCCTTTGGAAAGAAAAATGCTTTTCAGCACCTCATCCAAAAGATGTTATTTACTGTATTTTGGTGCTACAGCTGCATGTAAGTGATTTGTTCTTTCAGAGTAAAGGTTTCTCCGCTTCCCAAATGCAGAAGAGTCAAAGTAATCCTCTCATCTCATATTTCTAGTTCTCACTTTACTTAGTGAATTTTTTAACTTGGCTTAAAGGTTCTCAAGATTTACAGCCCCCAGAAACTCCAAAAAGCCCAAATGTTATCCGAACAGAAGTATCATCAAAGAAGAGCTCAGGGCAGAACCCCTTTGCCCTAATATTTACACGCGTGAGATGCTGTGGCAGAACACAAGTGTTATTCAGACAAACAAAGAGAATTTCATCTCAGGCTATGAACAGCTGCTGGGAGAGGTCAGCGCATGGAGCGAGGCTTCCAGCAGCATCCCGGTCCCTGGGAAAAGCCCGTGCTGCACAAGAGGGACTGATCTGTGATGTGCACCTGGGGCTCTACATCTCGGTATTTCTCACACTTCTCATTTCTGCCTTCATTTTATTTATTCACTGTTTTCTTCTGGCACAGTTTTCATTCTCAGAATTAGGAAACAACAACCTGACACACACTGATGCCTGGACCAGTCACCCTGAACACTCAGGTTGCTTAGAGCTTCTAACATCAGCTTCTAGCAAGGTGCGTGACACAGTACTGGATATCCAGACACAACAACTATTCCTCCTCTCTGTTAACATGCAACTCTTTGCATATATTTTTACTAAGAAATGCTAACAAAGGAAAGACGTGGGCACAAAAACGATAGGGCTCATCATTCACTCAGTTAAACAGGAAGGTTGTTTGCATATTAGCAGCAGAAATGAGCGTGTGGTCAGATGCCCCACCTTGTGCCGTATCACCTGCACTGACATCCACCTGGAGCACTCGACACAGAGGGTTCATCGGCCCATCAGACATGGGTTTACCCCTCCATGTGCCCACGGTGCTGAATGTTTTACCTCATACACCTATTCCTCTGCTCTGCCCCAGCCCCTCACCTGCTTCTATTCCTAACAGTCAGTTATCTTTTAGTGATCTGTTCGGCCCCACTATGTTCATTCTCTCAACATCTTTATTTCCAACCTCTATCCTATAATTATCCATTCCTAATCCTAACCTCTCTCCTTTCCCTTCTATGTGAATTTTATGTAACCTCTGTTTCCACATACCTTTCACCCATGCCCAGAGAACTCACCCTTCCCTCCCAGAGGCAACCCTTATACAACTTCCATTATTTCAGCCCTTCACCTTTGTCCCTAACTACAGCAAAATGAGATTAACTTTTACCCATTCTCACTAAACACGTCACACTAGGTCATTCTGTGAGTGCCTTTCTAACTCAGTCAAGTGTTCAGCTATCTCCGGAGCAAAGAAAACGCCCAGCCCGTTGCAGAAGGGTAACCTTGCTTATCTTCTGCGACCTTTAGTTGAGTCCTCCCTTTCCTAGGAGAGGCACAGAGGCATGTGCAGGAGCGCTGACTCTCGATCCACTCTGCCTTACAAACACATTGTGAGAAGCGATTTTATTGTTCCCCAAACATGCAGCAGCCCTGGCCATCAACTGCAATCGGTCATGGTTTCTAAAGCATTTGCATTTTATGCAGTAGTAACTGAGAAGTTAGTTCCAACCTGTAAAAACTTGAACCGCTGTCCTGAACAGAGTTCATGGAAAGTGCTGAGCTGTTTGGCAGCTTCATAGCTAGGGATTTGAGTACCACGCAGCTGGAATTACCCACATTTGCTTCATCACAGTAAGGAGGTCTGCTGAAAATCCAAGCTGCATCATTTAACCAAATATGAAGCCACACAAATGAGTACTACCTTAGGTGGTCAGGAGAGGTGTTGTTACACAATGTAAGTATTTTGTTTACTGAACAATCACAAATAAAACCTGAGCACCTGCCTTAAGAACAAACTCCAGAGTCTTGTTACAGACAGTGCATGTGACACTTACATAAGCCTCACAATCTCGGTTGATCCGAAAATATCCAACCAACTGCCATCATTAATACCAGCTTTTCTTGCCAGATATCCTAATAGATGAGCCTTGGTCTCCCTAAACTCTAAATTCACTACAATTATCTTCTGTATCCCTTCTCAGCCATCCAACACCATTTCACACTTCCCATTCTCTACTTCTCCCCTGAACTCTTGTCTTTCTTTCCACCTTTATCCACCCAAACAACAACAACAAAACCAACAAACCTCAGGATCACCTCTCTCATTAAGAATGAAAAAAGTATGCTGAGCCTCTTGGATGAGTGGTTCAGGCCGTTTACTAAAAGAGCATTAGCAAACTGGTGTCCATGAGAAGTGTAGGTGTAGGAAAGGGGAGTAAGAAGTCAGAGGGCAGAGCATAACAAGAAACAGCAATGGAAAATGCGAGAAGAGAAGGTCAGAAGAAAGAACAGAGGGCAAATTGTAGGGTGGAGGTAGACAAGAGGTAAAGCTTAGTTAACGAGAAAGAGGAATACTATTTCCAAGAAAGTTGCTCTCAAAAAACATGAAATCCTCGCTGCTATCAGAATCTAACAGGAAGGATGAAACGAGGAACGCACGGAGAGGAGGAACCCGGCTAACAGCGATACAAGCACAGGTTCGTGAACACCAGCAAGCAGCTCCGCAGGTGTAACACACGGCTTACCCCCGGCAGGCTGTGACTGCTGCCCACCCCGAGGCGCAGCGCCGGGCCCTGCCAGCAGCAAACACCTGAGGCACGCACCTGCAGCTGGGCGAAGGCGGCAGCGGCTCCTGCGGTGCAGAGATCCCCACGGGGAGCGCTCCGGGGCTGCGGGCTCCGCGCCCGTCCCTGTCCTCTCCTCTTCGCCCCGGCTGCCGGCTGGGAGGAGCGGGCGGCGTTACCGGGCCGCTGGGGAGGCGCGGGGACGCGCGGGGCTGAGGGAAAGGCGCCGTGCACCAGCCCCAGCCTGCGGGGCACGGGGCAGCGCCAAGCTGGGAGTTAACGGCGGGGCGGTAACACGGCCACACGGCCCGCGGGGGGAAAGGTGAACGCGCTACGGGTTATATGGGGCGATAACGCCCGTCGGCAGCGGCTCCAGAGCCGGAGCGTACACCCCCCAGGTGCTCACACGCTACACGGCGACAGCACCGACAGGAGGCAGGGCGCCTAAACCCACGCTCCTTACACAGGAGAAGCGAAACCGGCGCCGTCACGGTCACAAACAGCAACAAAACACCGCAGCACCGCACCGCAGCCCGGTAACGAGACGGGGGACGAGCCCCCTCAGGGCAGGGCAGCACCGGGGGCTCCCCCCGACCCCCGTCAGCAGCCTCCCGCCGTTACCTGCCCGTTAGGAGCGGGCGCGGTTGCCGTGGCAACGCGGCTCTGCCCCCCCCTCCCCTCAGCCTGCCCGCCCGCCCCGCTCGGGGCTCACCGCTCGCTCGGGGCGCCGGCGGCGCCACATCCCGCCGGCGGCGGCGGGCGCGTCACGGCGTCACGAGAATATGGCGTCACGGGGCGGTTGCCGCGGCAACGAGCCCGCGGGGCAGGAGCTAAGATGGCGGCCGGGCGGCCGGCGCCTCACAGCCCCGGTGGCTCCTCCTGCTCCCCGGCTGCTGCTGCTGTGGCGGCCGGGGGGCGGGAGGAGAAGGTGGTGGCGGCCGCTGAGGCGTTGCCGTGGGAGGTTCGGCTGGCGGCGGCTGAGGCGTCGCGGGCTGAGTACCGCGCGGCGTCCCGCACGCTGGCCAGGAGCAACGCGGAGCTGCTGTGGCGGCAGCGGCGCCTGGAGAAGGAGGCGATGGCCGTGCAGGGCGGCCTGGCCAAGCAGGGCCAGGAGAAGGCGCAGGAGGTGCGGGAGGGCGAGCCCCTCGGCGGGCCGGGAGGAGAGGCTGCAGCCCTCCTGCGGCTTGGGGGGATCGGGCTGCTGCCGTCCTCAGCCTCCTGGAGGAGGGCTCAGAGGAAATAAGCCCCAAAAGGGTTTAATAAAGTGAAAGGGCTTAGAGGAAATAAACCCCAAATCTGCTTGGAATGCAGTGAAAAAATAAGCCCTGCACCGGTGGTCTCTATTGCAGGCTGTTGCACTTGAATCCTGTGTCTGATAAAGCCAAGTACCAAGCAAAAACAAACAAACCTTCAGTTAAAATAACAAACTGAAATAAATGCCCTGTTCATTGAATAAGAAGACACAAATCTCTGATCCCCAGGACATTTGTGAGATTCAATGACAGGAGACAATATTCTTGCTCACAGCCCGTGGTTTTCTTTCTCCTAGCATCCATCATGTAAGCCCTTATTCAACCCCTTTTCCAGTTGCCTGACATTCTCTTGTCTATCTTTTTTCCCCTTTTCTGAACAGCTTCTCTTAATACTGCACCACCATCCAAAATGATAAGGAAGAAAACCCTCTGCCTGGATAGTTTTAATCCTTTGTTAGACTTGCAGATCACTTCATATCTACTACAGGTGTTTTTACAGTTCAGGCATCATGAATCATGATGTGGTTGTTTCACTCCCCTGCCATTCCCCCAGTTATTGTTTCTTAATTTCTGTTTTCGCAGATCGAGAAACTGAAGAAGGAGCTGGTTCATTTGAAACAACAAGCACAAGAAGAGAACAAGAAACTGGTGAATGAGCTTTTTGTCCTCAGAACAGTGGGATCCTCTGGGCAGGCTGAATGGTAGTTTTTATTTTAGTGTGAGGAACAAGCTAGGGCAACAAACTGTTACAGGTTTTGGTACAAGAATCTTGCATGAAAAAAGAACTTGAAAAAACAGTGCTGACGTGGCAGTTATCCCATGACTCTCTAGTATTATTTCGGATAATAGGAGGAATATTTTATAGCATCTGAAATAGTAATAGGAACCAGCTGGGTAATGGTGAGGCCAGAGACACAGCAAAAATGCTTAATTTTTACTCAGCTAACCAATAACTAATTTGAATTCTTTTATAGTTATCCTTCATTCATTGCTATTGAACCAAAACAACTCTTAAAAAGAACAAAGAAAATTATTATTTGTTAATCTGGTTTAAATAAGTAACAGAACTGTGCTCATATCCACTTTAAGCCAGTATGACCCATGAAGAAGGCTCCACAAGGAACTGCTTCCCATCCATAAAGAGCAAAAAAGGATATAAACAATGTTATTGATGTTGCTTTAAAGTAACCATGGATCTCTAGGCTTTTTATTTCACTGGAGGGTAGCTTTTGTTGAGTTAGCAGTATTTCTTCTAATGCTGAATTCCTTGTGGTTTTTAAAACACTGCAGCTCAGTGTAATTTCAGACATTCAGTCCTGTGTGCTGTGTTTTGTGTGATAATATTTAGTGATTGACTTCCCTCATTTTGCTTACTTCTTATTGATTATTTCTGATTTGCAGACAGACTATTATGCCCAACAAATAAAAGAACTGGAAGAGAAATTTCATGAAAAAGTTGGAGAAATTGGCCAAATTCAATCAGAACTGAAATTAATAAAGGAATTTCGCAAGGAGAAAGCGGCTATGGAGAAAGAACTGGAAGATGTAAGTTTGTCGTAAATGCAGGTTTGCAATACTTAATAAAAAAGCAACCTTTCTGTCTGCATGGCAACACAGAGTTTGGGAGTGGATGAGAAAAGACATGGTTGACCTATTGTTTTTTTGTTTTTGTTTTGTTTGTTTTTCCTTTAAGCACAGTTTACATAGACTGAGCAACAGCACAAGGTTTATAAAATGCAATTTCCACAGCCAGAACTCGCTTCTATAATGGGTGAATGCTATAGGTTTGTTTTTACATTTTTATTTATTTTAAACAAAATTTACATAGAAACATACCAACATGGATGGACTAGAGGATTTAGTATGCACTTTGGATCTATAATATGCTTTTTAAGTAGTGGTATTAACTGTAAAATGTTTCAGCTGTGATAACAAGCATCTGAGCTGGCTGATGGCATGAAAAAGGTGCCTCAAGCAACTTAAGTGTCTCAGTGATTCAGCTTGCCTGACTTATTTTTTTTTCAACTACAATAAGTGTCTTGAAAATAAAACAAATGCTTGCTCAACAGCATTTAGATTATTAATATATATCTGCTTTTAAGCTAAGACACTAACTACACTTAGTCATGCATTTTTCAAAGAATGCTTGAGGTGCTGGATTTTGAATGAGCTTGATGACTGAATGAATAGACAAAGTAAAGTAGATTTCTAAAACCGAGCATTAAACAGAATGATGGAGCGTGTGTGAATGACTGTCAGTGATGTGAAAATACAGGCAAAGGTGAGCTTTGAAGAGGAAGCAAAACAGCAATAAAAGTTAGATTAAGTGAATTTTAGAGATTGTGTGAAGATTTGATGAAGATTGAGTAGTGCCAGGAAAAACTACCAAGTACCTTCTTGAAGAATTGCATCCACACCAAGTTGTAAGGCTTAAATTAATTTCCATTATTACAGAGATTTAATTTTTTATCACAGTTAAAAAAGAGTATGAAGATCTCAGACAGGAGACATCAGGAAGCAATTGTGAGACTGGAGAAGAGGTTCCTTGAAGAGAAGGTAAAGGCTGACAACAGGCAATTAAACTTTTATTAGAAAAAAAAAAAGATTTCTCCCACTGACTACTCTGTCTTCTATAGTTCTAACAGTTCTTTACTCAGCATTTTACAGATTCCTACATCAACAAAAGTATGATGAGTGGTTGGAGGATAGGTGAAGCTTTTTAAGGAAGGACATGGGATGTCAGGATCCCAGACAGGCCTTATTCTCCACTTCTGTCAGGAACATCAGTACCCTTGGGAGTTCATTCAATTTATTCTTTTCTTAGCAAGAAGTTGCATGAGCTGGAAACTGGAGATGATTTTAGAATTTACACTGTATCGGGTTTTAACTTCAGTACCACAGTTCTGGTACAAAATTTAAACAGGCTTTTCTCCCTTTCAGAAAAGACTGGAAGAAGATACTGAGAAGAAGCTAGTGATGATGACAGAGACTGCCCAGCGTGAGGCTGTTTTGTAAGAAACACTTGCTTTTCATGTTTTCTATTTTACTAATCCATTTTAGTGGTGTGTTTTGAAGAACAAGTTGCCCATCTTACTCTGTGACCTTTGAAAGGCAAAATCAGTTACAATCTAAACTGTTTGCCCTATTTTAAATGTCAAGATGATGGCAGCACTTAAACTGTAGAACTCTTGCTGGTTATAGGGGAGATCTGGAGGTAATAATCACAATCACAATGTTTTTTTCTCATTCTCACAGTCCAAATGTAGGACTAAAAGCTAAGAAAACTTTGTACAGACCCATGAGAATTTTACAGCTTAACTCTGAAATTAGGGCACTGAAATATTGATTTTCATGTAAAAAACACTAAAGGTTGTGATTAAAGCTCTTGGATTTTATTTCCCTTTGTCCAGGCAGCTGAACAGCATGGGGAGAGAGGTGTTTAAGGAGAATATTCGTCTTCAAGGTGCTTTCTCAGATAATCTGAAAGAGAAGATGGAATTGCAGAAAACAAAACTGAAGTTAGAGGAGGACAAAACTCTTCTGTTACTGGAGAAGGTTTCTGCTCTGGTTTTAATTCTGTTTCATTTCCCCCCAGGAAGGGGTCCCTGAAGTTCTGGGAATTGATGTAAGTGTAGTGAGACTAATTTTTCCCTAGTCAGATCTCTCTGCAGCTATTGAGTTTCAGAGTTGTCTGAAGAAAGCTCTTATTCTCTCTTAATTATGGAGGAGAAATAAGGAAGGATTTCCTACGATAGCCCACTGAGAATAGGTCTCTATGTAGTATACACTACATGCCAAGCCTTCTTTATCTGGCTTCTCCTATAAAAAAAAAAACAAACTGACCCCAGAGAAGTATTCTCTCTTTGGTGTGATGGTGCCAGCATGTTTTACTACATCGTCAGTGCTAGGGAAAAAGGAAACCTCCAGATTTGGTGTGAGTGAAACAAAAGCCCAAAAAATTTCATCTTACCCTTTTAGGAAACCAGCGAGGGTTTGATTCGAAAAAAGATCCTACAGATCAACCATCAGAAAGCACAGATTAGAGATCTGCAGTGTAAAGTGGAAAAACTGGAGATGGCCGTATCTCACATGACCAGAGAATTTGAGACAAAGACTCAAAAAACACAGCATCAAGCACTGATAGAAAACCAGGCAAGCATGGTGGAGATCAAGAAACTGCAGCAATTACTAGAAATGAAGGACCAGGAGATGAATCGAGTGAAGAAACTAGCCCGGAATATTTTAAATGAGAGGACTGAGGTGGAAAGGTTCTTCCTAGATGTTCTGGAACACGTGAAGCAGGAGATCAGAGCGAGTAGAAAGCAATATTATGAAAAGGCACGGGCTGCCTATTACAGGAAAATGATGGAGGCATGTGCAGGGACTGAAGAATTTCCCCAAATCAAGACATTCAAAGGCAACATAAACAGCACAAACAGTGTGTATAGAGACCTAGAGGAAGCAGAGAAATGCTACGGGTATTTTAACACACAAAAAAACCAACCATCTCTATCTTCCTAGCACACCTTAAAAAAAGAGAGACCTGTGTGATGATATGGTCTAGATTTGGAGTGTTTGTGGAGACTGCTGTAGTGAGAATAACTGTATGAGGTCAATTAGTAAGGACTCTGTGGGCACCTAATCTCACTTTTTGATCATTATTTATATGAGTACTTCTCATATTCTGCCATGTGCTATGGAATTACTTGCAGAATTTCCAGTATAGATGCATTTCTGCAGTTTCTTTTTTTAATAATTATTGTAGCATCTCTGTTTTTTGGAGGTTGTGTAGGCATTGTTCTTCTGGCATTGCTCTTTTGCTTTTCATTCACTTCCATGACCTGAAAACATTGGAGTCTAAAAATTACAATTAACATCTTAGGAGCTCTTTACTATGCTGCTGATCATTTTAACAGAAGCAACCAGTAGATGGCAAATAGTCTTTGTTCAACTGTTCTTCCATATGCCAGAATAAAAAATTATGAGAATAAAAATTAGTTTGATATATATTTAGTTTCTTATGTTTGAACAGTGAAAGAAGCAAGGAAAGGGAAATGTGCTTGAAATGAATATGTTGATGTCTAGTTTAGAGACCCATATGTTTAGAAGTTGGAAAGACAGTACTGATTTATTTTCTGAATTTACATGCTACGAATAGCTGAACAAGAGCAATGCAGAAATAAGAGTTTAAAGCCCTTTTTACACATAGAGAATCCAAGAGAGATATGCCTTTCCTCCTAATGCATTGATCTTTTCTGTGTTTTTCAGGGAGAAAGCACAGTTTGAAAAAGTGGATATCAGTGAGTTGACATGGGAACAAAAAGAACATGTTCTGAGATTACTTTTTGCCAAAATGAATGGCAGAAATCCATGGTAATACTCTGTTTCTTCAGTAGGGGAATGCAGAGCTTTCCCTGTTACTAAAGCTTGGCTGACAAGCTCCAGAGTAGGGGATTCCCGGAGACTCTGCATCTAGCTTAAAAGTCTAGCTGTGTGGCTTGGTGTGAGATACTGTAGCCTTACAAAAAAGGTGATTTATACAAATTTCGACAGGCACCAGACTATACTGCTAGTTCTTTGTGTGTAGTATCAAAAGAAAAGCAAGTGGAAATAAACTTCTGATAGTACCGAGGAAGACAGAATTATTTTTGCTCAGTGCAGTGGGATTAATTTTGTTCAGTTATTAATGAAATCCTATCCATTTTTATCAGACAAGTAGATAATGCATGTTGTGACAGTACCACTCCCTCTATATATTTTGTTTTAATAAGAAAACCATAAAGCAATCTAGCCAGTATTACAAAATACAAATATCCACAGCCAGGTTATTGAAAGGGTACTTACCATATGCTGGTTGCAGTCAGCATAAGAAACCTGGGAGCATGATATGAAAGATGTCTAAAATAGGATTTACACTGGAAATTCAGAAGTCAAACTGCATTAAATACATTATACACTGTTAACAGAATTTTTGATGGAATGCATGAGTGCCCACAGAGAAGTCTAAAATGCTACAGTTTTTTATGTAGTTTGAGAGCTAAACAGGGTGGAATATCATCTTCTCTGTTATTTTTAGAAATCTTTTGTTTAAATTTAATTTAAACTTTATTACATTAATAGAGCGTAACAAATTTGGTTAAAATTATTACAGCAGGAATAAGAAATGCATAATTAAATGATTAATCTGTTAGCTTTTATGGTCCCAATTTAACTCCTCTTATCAGTATTTGCCAACATACAAAAATACACGTAAAGCTGTATGGTAGACACGCTTAAGGAATGGGATACAAATACTTCATTTTGATTTGTGATAAAAATTATTGTTTTGTTGTTAATTTCAAAGATTTCTATTATAAAATCTATTTTGTGTGTGCATTCTAAGTGAGATATTATTTAAGTAATATTCTAGGATAGGAGGCTAGAAGTTTTCTTCCACGTTACTACCTGTTGTATGGAAACATAAAATGCTATTTATTTACCAATAATTTGTCTACATGTGCTGACAGCCTTTCTTACTCTAAAAAATATATAGAACACACAGTTCTATATATCTATTAGAAGAATAAATCAGGCCACTGGGAATCAGGAAGGAAACGGAATAATATTTTGGTCAATCTTTGATAGTCTTCACAGTGGTAGAAAGGATTATTTAGACCTCTGCTTAACATGAAGCAATAGTCACCCCTGTATTTGTAAAGGTAGCAGTGAACTAAAGGGCAGAAACAGCACACAGCAGCACTGACCTCTGCCTATGCAATTTCTGCTTGAGTGCTCCTTGTTTACTTTTAGTTGTTATGGAAAAATCATTAATACAAAATTCAGTAGCGAACTGAACTCGCATTCAATTCACAGTGCTGATTTCAGAGAGTGTACTGCAATAGCTCGAGTGTCCTGGCACTTCTTGCTTGCTGTTTATTGTAAGAAACATCAGGAGTTTGATGTGGGATTAGAAACCTGGCTGAGCATACACCACCCTTAGATGAGGATAACTTTATTCGTTTCTTCCTTACAGGAAGTACAGCAGAGTTCTGGCTACTTCAGCTCCAGCTGATGCTAAAGAAGAAAGCGAAGTCGGGTAAGATGCTAAATTATGCTGTACTATTTAACAACTTGTCAGTAGAAAGCTGTACCAGCAGTGAGATGAAGCAGGTACATCATCAGTGAGCATCTGCAGCTTGATCTAAAAAGGCCTTTCACTAACTGAAAGGCAGATACAAGTTGTATTTCTAGTATATTTAAAATAATCTGATTTAAAAATGCTGTTGGAAATGCAGATAATCAGAAAAGATATTTGCACACAAGTGAAAGGCTCCTACAAATTTCTAGAACACAGGTGTGGCGAAAGTGCAGGGATACTCCTGCAATTCTTCAGGCAGCAGGTAAGCTTGATGTTGTTATAGAAGTTTAGAAGGATTTTAGAATTTCTAAAGGAGATAGTGTATTTTAGTAAGGCAACAGAAAAGTCAGAATAGCAATGCTGATTAGGAAGAAGAATGAAGGTGATTTGAAAGTGAATGACTATAGACAATATTAGAGGCTATTATTTAATATTCCTTTCCCTGGAGTATGAAAGGATGCCCATGTGTTAATGGTGATTTACCTTAAATATTTTACCTTTGCAGCACAGAAAACGTTTCTTCCAACCTAGTATTTGTTACACAGCAAGCTGAATTATCAGAGTCATCATCTTCTACAGCAATCCTTCCACGTATTCAGATGTTAACAGAGTAAGGCAGCTGTACACTTCAAGTGAACAATATCCACAGCAATTACTGACTCATCTGCACTTTTCATTTTGGAAGTTACCTTGTGAACAAAGCTGCAATTCTGAATCCTCCATCTGTTAATGCTGCTGCTTTGACTACAAATTTAAAATTCATCTGAAATACACCAATTTTCCTCCTCCTTAAAATAAAGATCTTATTCTTTCCGAAGCCAGGTGCTACGATGACCCCATACACAGCACTGAAGTGGTTAGAACTCTGTGTAGGTGTTGCTGTAATTTGATTGAGATACTTCTTCAGTTAGGAATAGAGTTGTATATATGAAGTTTGAGAGCTTTTGTGATCAAGTATGTGGGAAATAGAAACAAGGCATTCCTTGAAATGCTGTATGAAGATACTAGTGCAGAAGCCCTTGAGATACTGTAAAAAGGAAGATGTGTACACTGATTACAGGAAACACAGACCAGCCTCTGTGAAGGGGAATAAAGTCAATGTAACACCTACAGAATATCTTACCAAGGAACAGTCATTTTCTCCAGAAATGTATTAGCAATTTTTTTTAATTCACAATCAAATTGCAAGGTGAGAATTTCCCTCTAGAGTATAGCAGAAGAAAAAGTAAGATACAAACATAAGAGTAACTGCTGTGGATCCACTAAATACATAACTGTCACTTACAAGGAATCTTTGTCAGAAGGCAGGATACAAAGTCTTCACATTCAGGTTGTTTAATTAGAACAGGTAATGATTACAATCATTAGAATAATACTATTTTTTCATGAGTACTTGAATGAGTTCCCTGCAGATCCCTCATGGCTGCAGCATCTTCCAGGATGCAAGAATAAAAGTAGAGGCTCTCCAGCTCTAAATGCACATATTCTTAAGAACAGGGTATCCCAAGACTTACCCTTCTCTTGTCATGGGACCTGCAGTCCCTAGGGAACATGAGTGTGTTTGAGCAAATGTCACAAGGTGTCAGTCAATCACAAGAAATATAGCGATAGTCAGGAAAAGAAACAAAACAGGCCTGGCTGTTTTGTGATTAAAACATGTTCTCTCTTCCTACTGACCTGTCTACTTTTCTTACCACCCAGACTCACATGATCCTGTGATGCAAGACATACAAACACGTTTCTGCTTCCACAGTTTCATTATCTTACAGGACCTGTAGGCACATTTCTGTTAGCACAGTAAAAAGGCACCAACCAACTTCTAGGTATAATGAAATTGACAGCAAGCTGGAGAATACAGTCTGCATGCACAACAGGAACAGAAGTTTTCAAGCTGTCAGAGGCACAGTGAAGGTCACTGTACCATACAGGAATTTCTTTCATCCTCAGACAAGCAATCAAAGATGCTTTTCTGAAAAATGCTTAGCAAGCCATTTCTGAAGTGTTTTGGGAACTGCTCAACAGATGAAAGACTGACGTTTTCAACTCCCAAACTTGCTGTCTTCGTTGTACGTAGAAGTCATTTCTATGAGACATCCAAGATGTCCCAGTTATGTCACTCAAACTGAGTACTCATCTGAGTAAGGTTAGCTTAAAATCTTAACATGTAAGAAAGTGGTAAAGAAAACTGCTACAAGACGTAGCCAGTATTGAGTCACTAAGGCTAAAGATATTGCAGTGGAAAGCAGAGTAGTGTTCAAGTTCAGAGGGTCTGGAAAGAAACACAAGTTAAGGCCCATCTGTCTTCCCTTTCAATTAGATTTTTTTCCTCTGACAGGTTATTAAAAAAAAAAAATTGTGTTCAGCTAGCCAAAAAACACTGACAGCAACAGAAAACTCAGACTGTGCGTTATATGAGCCTGCCTGATCTAGACAGAAAAAAGAGGCCCATAAAAGATGGAGCTTTCTGTTTCCCAAGGAAATGATAACAGTCAGGACAAAGCTGGAAAGTGCAACATGGAAGGAGAAGGGAACCAAGGTCAGCATCTGTGAAGGCTGATTTAGTTCCCCATAGTTGGCATAACCACAGCAGGCTTGGTAACAGTGGCATCTTCCTCTTTCCATTGAGAAATGATTGTTTTCAGCTGTGTGTAGAACTGCACTCCCTGGGAGAAAGGAGAGACACATGGGTCAGATGTTTGGCCTTAGGAATTCTTCAGATCTGCACCACAGATCTATCAAGCAGTTCTTGCTCTGTCTGCAAAGGTTTGAGTTTTCCTCTGTAGGAGCAATTCATGTCAGTCTGTTCCTTTCAACAGCTCCCTAAAGACTCTGGTCCTCTGAGAAAACTTGATACTTAGTTCTTGCTCCCTTCTTACATCTCCACCCAGTAAGGTGAGATCTGATGAGCATCTCCCCACTGCCATTTGTAACCTGATTTATCACAAATCAAGAGAGTACTGTGAATCCGCAAGTTACCTGTTTGCCATAGAAATTAGTGTCTCCTCTGAAAGAAGCACGAGAACCAGTGAAAGAGAACATGGGCAGAGGTACTGGGATTGGAACATTGACTCCCACCTAAAGCAAAGGAAAACAGCCATATTAATCACACGATAAAGAAGTAGCAGAGAGTCAGTGATTAGTCACTATAGCTGGATGGCTGATGGTGTAAACAACAACTGTAGGAACAAATCTAGCTTGAACATACCTGCCCCACATCTACTAAGTGAGAATATTTCCGAGCTGTGGCTCCATTGGTGGTGAAGATTGCAGTTCCGTTTCCATAGGGGTTATTGTTCACCATCTTAATTGCATCATCCAAAGTGTCTGCTTCCAGAACCACCAAGACAGGCCCAAAGATTTCCTCCTTGTAGCAAGTCATGTTTGGCTGCCAAGACAAACAGCAGAAAAAGCAGACTGTAGGAAACAGCATATAGTAAACACACATGCTGCTCATCCTCAGGATATTCCTAGGAGCACCCATCACACTGCATTGCCGCAGGCCATCCATCCTTCAGTCCTGCCTGCCATTCCACCATTTCCCCTGCCCTGCTATCTATCTAGTCCACTATAGAGGGCACCATTTGTAATTGCCAAAATGCTTTCTGCTTCTACTGCCTGCCTGATCTAAGTTAGGCCTTTGATCAAGGCTGATTAAAGCCAGGATTAATTCAGAATAGTTTACTCCTCTATAAGTCAGTGCCCAGGATTTGTGTCTCATAATTAGCAGTATTTGACAAATACAAAAGCACCAGTTAGAGTACTTTAATCATTAATAACTAACACAACAAACTACAAAACATTCATCTGATGAGTTTTCTGTGGCTACTGATAACCTTATTAGTGTATAAAAAAGTACAAATCAAAAAATCTCAGTGAAACTTTTACTACTGAATACCTAAATATTTACAATGCATCAAAGGGAAAGTAAATTATTTTAAGATGCTTAATTAAAACAATGAAATTAAATTAGGAGACAGATTAAGAGCCTGAAATATATGATAGCACTTAATCCATAAAATCCTAATAAAAAGTACAACAGAAGAACTATCAAGATCAGTGCATTATCATGTAATCACTCACCAAAAGGACCACAATTAATATTCCCCCCAGTAGCATCCATCTATTGCACACCATGCACTATATTGAGAGGCTGTTTCAGTAAAACTGTGAATATATTCAATTATTCAAAGAGCTTTTGTACCTTGTCCCATAATTACTCTTGCAAAGACTTCCACAAATATTTAACTTCTGTTTCTACAAGTCCTTACACTGCAAATTGCAGGAATGTGTAATGGAAAAAAGGAAGATTATGTTTGGCTGTTAGTCACGCTCTTTTTAGACATCTGCTGCTGGCCATTACTACAGAAAGTACACTGTGCTCGATGGATATTTAGTCTGACACAGTACAAACTGCCCATATGTTCTTTTAATTGGCTGCATTCCCATGAAGTTAAGATTATCAACTCTATTCAGTTTGTTCTGCTCCCCTGGATTCTTTCATCACCTCCACAACAGCATTACAATCAGCACTTCACTGGGACTGTGCAAAAGAAGGCTGAGCTATTTATGAGACTTCTGCTTGGTGATTCTTGATTGATTTTGGCTAACCCATTTGTCAAGTGACCCTGCAGTATGCAGCATCAAGTTTTGGTTATGTTACCTTGACATTGGCAAGGATTGTTGGTCCAACAAAATTGCCATTTTCATAGCCCTTCACTTTGATATTACGTCCATCCAGAAGAAGGCTTGCACCTTCTTTTACTCCTTTCTCAATCAGATGGCAAACACGTTCCTTAGCCTGGGGACTGATTAGAGGCCCTAGATCTGCTCCAGGCTGGTCTCCTGTAAAGAGGCAGAGACAAAAAAAATAAATTAACTCTTACAGCTTCCTCTTTATAGGTATGATGGAGGTAACTCCGCTGGCAGGAAAAAAAATGAGAAATCTGATGTTTCTGAAACACAGAACAAAGATTTGAGGTGTTAATGAACTGAGGTAGTAGTCTGCAACTTGTAATCATAATAAAGAAAGAAGAGAAGGTATAAGCATACTTTTAGATCACCAGAATGCTAAAATTCAAAAACAGATCCTTCTTAGAAAGGAAAGTTTTCCTCTTTGCATGGCTTTATTGAAAATAAATGAAAGTCAGGATAATTATTCTAGAATTAACAACTAGTTTTTCTAAAGTGCTTGTTTCCATTTTTAGCTCTTATTGCATGCTTACTACAAATTGGAAGGATCTCTAAGACTGTCATATAAATGGTAGGTTTGTGTTCTACATACAACATAACCTCAAAGTTCCAGTTAAAACAAAGCCAATCCTATAAACTGTGCATCACAGTTATATTGTCAAGCTTTCCTACAGATTCCTAACTCCAAGTCTAGGGCTTTGTCCCACTCCAGATAATGTGCTAGCTCCCATAACTACAGATCAAACTGATGGAGCTAACAGCTTTCAAGGGATAGATACACCACAGCATGGCAGATACACCAACCTAAAAAGCCACAGCTGTACAGAAGTGAAGTACTTAATAAGACATTATCTGAGCCTGTACCTGCATTTACGCGTAGATTTTTGGCTCTTTCCACCAGCTCTGGCAGCCATTTCTGTGCTTCCCCCACTAGAATTGCTGTAGACAGGGCCATGCAGCGTTGGCCAGCTGCTCCAAAAGCAGCTCCAACCAGCTGGTTCAAGGTGTTCTCTTTATTGGCATCAGGCATCACCACACCATGGTTTTTTGCCCCCTGAAATATAACACACATAAGGTCTCCCATCATTAACCACCCCTGCCCACTTCTTTTCTAGCTCTCTGGCAGTATCTTGATATAGTAGCTCTGATGGCTACCAGCAGGCTGGCAAGAAGTGCAGCCTCCACACTTAACTATCAGCAACAAAGTCAGCTTCTGCTGCTGACAGGTGTGTTCTGTTTCAACGTGCATAGATAGAGGCAGTCTGTGTGCTGCCGTGTGCTCCGTTCGGTGGCATTACCATGTTAGCCTGGACTCTCTTGCCATTCCGGGATCCTCTCTCATAGATGTACTCGCCAGCCTGATTAGATCCCACAAAGCTGATTGCTCTGATATCCGGATGGTCACAAATGAAATTCACAGCTTTAAATAGAAAATAATACATTATATATCGTGGTGCACAAACATTTCCCTCTGTCCCCATCCCCACATTGCTAAGTCTATGCATCTTATCAGAATTCTTGCCTCTGTTTCCTACATTTGAGTCACATTTCAGTGCTCATGGTGGCCTTTCCCAAGGTGGCCAAGCGATGTTGAAACAGAGTTACCATTGGTTATTTGTATCCTTGGGTTGTGAATTTAATTGATAAAAAAAATTGATAAAAGATAATCTGTTTAGGAACTAAAATACTGGTGGCCACTGCATAGTCAGTGAGGCATTTAATTTTTGTTTAGTCTTCCTTGGTGAACACCAAGATGATTTATCTGCTTATTTCAGTTGAAGCTTAGGTAGCTAAAGAGAATTTGAACACTTGCATACCTTGAAAATTCAGACACTAGCTCCCAAAATTCTTGCCACCGAATCTCCCAAAATACTTGACGCAACATGCTAGAGGATCTCCCTGTCACCCCATTTCCCTTCCATCAAGAGTTTTGAGGCATCTTTACAAACCTATCTATCAGCAGTAGGATCAGACACTCCAACTTGTTTTAGTACCTCCACTAAACATACACCACAACACTTACAAACTCCAGCCACCTCCCAGGCAGGCTATTATTACCTTCATGCTGTCCATGGATGATATTCAGGGTCCCGTCTGGGGCACCGGCATCCTGAAACAGCTTGGCAAGGAACATGAGTGCTCCTGGTACACGCTCCGATGGTTTCATCAAGAACGTGTTCCCACAAACCATAGCCATGGGGAACATCCACAGAGGAATCATGGCTGGGAAATTGAACGGCGCAATGCCAGCGCACACACCCAGAGGCAGACGGTAGGTGTAAGTGTCCATGTCTTTAGTGATGGAGGGCATTGTCTCTCCCAGTATGAGGGATGTCACACTGCAAGCATGTTCCACCACCTCTGCAGCAGAAAGGGCAATACGCCACTGGGTGATCTGTTAATGGTCAGTCCCCAAACTCCCTTCTCACCACTGCCTTGACCCAAGTCTTCCTTCCAGCCTTTTCCCACAACTTAAAACTCATTGTGCTCCAGAAAATCCCTTTGATCTGCCAAGTACTGTGAGCTCATTGTGAACAGATTCTCTCCTGAGTACATTATATGCCACTGTGATAGGAGCACAGACACAACAGCCCCAGTCAAAATACAGATGTGGTTTTAGTGTACCCACTGTGGTTCAGTTGTAGCCATTTGAGAACAATCCTT